AGTGTAATACGCAGAATGCAGAGTGCAAAACAAAGAGTTTATGGGAGTAAAAATCCAGAGATACAATGTGGAACGCAGGTGGGGAGTTTGAGACGTAAAATGGGAAGTAAACCACACCGTGTCCTATTAAACGAAGATGAAACCACCTAATTTTACATTATACAAATGATTAAAAATGACAAAAATCCCATCTCCACCTTATGTCGTTGCCGTGGCACCTCGCCATACCGATACTTTTTTCTTTTCCAAGCCTTGAGGTACTTGATTTTTTGGAGGAAGCGGATTGTTGTTTTGGTATTGTTAGGAGTATAATATTTGAGCCCATTCAGGTGATTTTCCTTATTTTTTCTGGGCATTTAAATGCATACTACCTAATGTTTATATATTTACATATCTAAGATCAAAACTTTATTTTTGCATTTATACTACCCAAATATTTTTATCACACAAAAATATCACTATTTTAACTTTCAAAAAGTAAAATACACTATAACAATTGAAGTATAGGTTTTCGATATGTAAGTACATAAGAATTGAGTGGAATGTATGCAGTTCTTCCTTGTTTTTCCTTTTAATATTTAGCAATGACAAACACACATCAAATTTGATATTCTAAAGTTGTTTTGCTTTCTTTTTTTTTTCCTTTTCTAATTACAAAACTTGTCTGCCCATCATAATTTAAGTTCCCGAAGTAGTAGTGTAGCAATTGAACAAATCAAGTTATTGTTAGGAACCCACCTAAAAACCAAGATTTAATGATGTTTAAATGCGTCGGAAGTATTCTTTATACTTATCTAGTTGACGCAAGAGAAATGCCATTTCAAGAAGCATTTGATTGAAATCACCCGGCTGGTATGATTTGATTCTTTGTGCTTATTTAGTTATCCCTCTGATTTTTTATGCTACCATATTATGAAAATTTTCTATTTATTTGGCTTCAAGGATTTGTTTTTTTTATTATTTTTTGGTGGGAATGATTGGATACATCCATATTTGGAAAGAAATCTTTATTCCATTCGAGGAAAATTAAATTTACATAATGCGTGCCAGAAAATTTGGGGCGGTAGAGTAATGAATTATCTTCTTAGAATTGCAAGAGAATTCAACACACACAGATAAAAGAAGAGAAGTAAGCAGGAGGAGACATCTCGACTTTTTACGTGGCCCTAGCCCAATTGAAATAATCTACTATGAATGATGAGTACATATGTTCATTTTTCTCCTAAATTAGGGAAAAAGAAATTACAGAGTTGTATAACTATAATCTGATTGCAGTTCTTGGTGACAGCAGGTTGCATGTGTCATTGTTGATTGTTGTAGAGGTAGTAATCCGTCGTGAGTGTTGTAGATGATTGCTCGAGAAGCATTGATTGGCTAAAGAAACCTTAGTAAGCAGTTATGGGAGCTTTGGGCTACATAAGACAGTGGCGAGTATAAATGACGTCCGTAGGCCGCCGGGGACTGAGTCGGGAGCTGCACGAGCTGTGAACCACATAGGCCGTAGGGGAGAATATGAATGATGTCTGTAGGTCGCGGGGTCGTAGTCGTGAGCTATACGAGCTGATGACCACGTAGGTTGTTTGGGCGAGTATGAATGACGTCCGTAGGCCGCGGGGATCAGAGTTAGGAGCTGCACTAGCTGTGAACCAGGTAAACTGTAGGGGTGAGTATGAATGACGTCCATAGGCCGCGAGGGCTAGAGTCTGGAGTTGCACGAGCTGTGAACCACATAGGTCGTTGGGGCGAGTATGAATGACGTCCGTATGCCGCGGAGGCCGGAGTCAGGAGCTACACGAGCTATGAACCATGCAGGCCGTAGGGGCGAGTATGAAGGATTTCTATAGGCCGTGGGGACCGGAGTCGAGAGCTACACGAGCTATGAATCATGTAGGCCGTAGGTGCGATTGTGAATGATGTCCATAGGCCACGGGGGTCAGAGGCGGGAGCTGCATGAGTTATGAACCATCAATGTCCTTATTGACACATGGACCGTAGTGATGACTGACGACGTCTAGTTGGTGGTGATCGACAGTGACGGTTGACAGTGGCAAACGAAAATTGTGGGTGTCGACGATGGCCGACTCTGGTCGACGACGATCGGTAGTGGTCGGTGACGGTCTAATTGGTGTTGGACTTCAGCTCATTCTCAGAGCTTCCAATTTTCTCTGAAGCTTCAACTCTCTCCCCTCATGTGAGGGGTGAGGCTCTATTTATAGTTGGATGCCATTAATGCATGAATATAAATTATTTTGATCAGACGGTCCGGAGAGCTCCCTCCGATCAAACGATGTTTAATAGACAATTGAGTGCCTTAACGATGTCAGAATTGCACAATCTTAGTCTCGTTGGATTTGACTTGTCGAGACGCTTAATTCAACTATAAACTTGACAGTTTTGATATTTGTGTGACCTTCTAAATGTCCAGAGATCTTCCAAAAGTGGTTTAATGACTTGATAAGGGCTTGATTTGACTCAGATTAGACTCTTTGATATCATCAGACTTGTCTCATTGAGCCGGTCAGTGTGACTATAAGTTTGCTGAAATCGGAGTTCTGTATGATTTTTTATCAAAATTTGAATATTTCTTGTTCAAAATATTGCCTCGAGATTTGTGTTATGCCTTGAGATTCGTGTCAAATGATGAAAATTGTTGGTGATGTATCAATATGTATCATACAATTATGATTTACATATATAATACCTAAAGTTTGATAGTTATATTTTTTAAATTTTGGTGCTATAAATCTATGCATAAAAATGTGTATTTGACTTTTAAGAAGTTAATAAAATGAAATTTTTGATATGATCTTAAGGACTCGAGTGTTATGATCTTAAGAATTTGAGTGTTATGAATGTAAATATTAAATTATGACATCATTCTAGGGTTACTAGAAGATGTTTATGAAGTGGATTTAGTGGGTAGGTGATTCAAAAATTGCAAGTTAATGATAAACTGGGAGGTTGATTGTGTTTGGAAGGGGGATATGCTGTATTTAGTTTTTGCCTGGCCATAGAAAAGAACTAAGAAACAGTAGTTCTAATGAGTCACGATTGCTGAAGAGGATCCACAATCGGTTCCTGAGCCGGCTATAGACATACTACTCACAAAAAGAGAGAGGACACAATATTGCAGAGCAGAAAGTCACAGAAAAAGTTCTCCAAATATACAAAATAATAGTTGACGTCTCAAAATATTAAATACAACCTACAAATAGTCTCATAATAGAAAATAATCCTAATTAGAAATAAGAGATTGAAAATAAGTGTCCATAAAACCGGTGTAGTCCACAACAGAAAAATCTTGCAATATACATCCTCCCAGGATGATATTTCATCATGGTTTGATCTCACAATCGTAGTATCCTACGATCGCGATACTGCAAGACGAAGTAGTGCGGTCTTGTTTCAATTGAAGTGTTAGACATACAAATACATAAGAATTGTGTGGCATGTATGTAAATGTTCCTTGAAGTTTATTTGTGTGACTTTTGTAGATATGGGTATATTTTTGGCTAAACATCTCTGTATAAAAATTTAGTTTTTCAAAAATTTTTAACACCTCTAATTATATTAGAAAAGGTTATGTTGGAACATTTCTTTAGGATCAAAGCAGTTTTGTATGTAAAAGATAATATAAAAAATTGAGGATTTGCTTGTATATGTTTATATATCTACTATTTTAATGAGTTCTTTACGTACCAATCATCCAAAGTATTGAATATGACATCCTAACCGCTCAAACTTTAAATATAACATTTTAACAACTAGTGAAAGCTTTGAGTGAAAGTCCATTCTAATTTTAATTTTTTTTTTATATAATAATTCAAATTGTAGCATCATATTGAAAATTTGAATAATATAACTTTTACAAAATGCAGCATTTTTTATTCATATATTCTAATATATGATTATGACATCGAATGATTACATAAATAAAAATAAAAAATGCATAAAACTATATTATATGTTTGTAGATTTTTCAAGAATTTATTGTGAAGATTTTGATTTTCTGCATGAGGCATTATTCCGACACTCAAATGAAAAAAATAATACATCAGAATTCCGCACGAAGAATTACGTGCGAAGTCGAATGAAATCACGTCACGTAGAAAAAAAAATTCTGCACGGTAACACAAGGGAATATTCCTTCCGTGTTATTCATGTGTTATTATGTGTTATTTAGATGTTATTGTGTGTTATTCAAATATTATTGATGTGTTATTACATTATTATAACACCAGGAATATTCCCAGAACACGATAACACATGAATAACATACAATAACAAATGAATAACACGTAACAATACGAGAAAAATATTCTCTTATGTTACCAGGCCGATCACCTCCACGATGTAATTTTATTGGACTCCGCACGAACCATACGCGCGGAGTCCTGATGCAGTATTTTTTCCGAAGTGGTCACATAAAGTTGTTTTCTATATTATTAGTAAATATATTGAAAAACTTTTTGATTTAAAAATGTGGCTTTATTTTTTTGAGACAAGAAAGCGAAACAAATTATTATTATTATTATTATTTTTTTATCGCAGAATTTTATTAATCTACTATTATCCTTAGTAATATTAAAAAATAATATAATGCAATCTCCTTTTAATATGATTTTAATTTATAATTATTTAAAAAAAAATATAGCAACCTTGGTAAGATCACGCCACTCATTTTTAAATATGAATTTCAATAATAAATAACTCACTCATACAAATATTAAAAGCCAAATTTTGTAACTCAATTTCCAGTAACCCTTCTCGAAACAAAATATTCTAGGAAAATTTACATAAGTTACCATACAATTCTTATGTATTTATTTATCTAACACTCAAAATTTGATATTTATATTTATAATAGTTTGATATCATAAATTTATACATGAAATTATATATTTCACTTTTAAAAAAATAGTAATGACAATACCTCTAAAATGCCGCTAGAATTTTACGTGAGATGCATGTAAGTATGAACATGTGTTAGAAATATATACATAAGAAAATTTGTGGTATGTATTTGTTAAATCTTTCTAGGAAATTCATGGGGGCTCACATAATCGAGAAAAAATTGCATACGTACGCAGCGCTGCGTACGCCAGGTAGGTTACAAGGAGGGTATTGAGGGTTATATCCATATTATAACCTCTGTAATCTCCCTGTAACCTACCTGTAACCTACCTATAACCTACAAATATATGAAAACAGAAGCGCAAACTTACTGGAAGGTACAAGTAAATTACAGAAAAGTTACAATATATATAACACGTATATAACCCCATAATACCCTCACTGTAATCTAACTAACATACACAGAAGATAAGCGATGCTGGCTGGGAGGTCACCCATAACTCTGTCATTGCTTTATAGTGAGAGAAGTTATTCATGCACAGTAAGTAAAAGCCTCACCCAGTAGTTCCATCCATTATAGGTGGCTTCAATCTCCTTTTGGCAAATTGCTTGTTTTATGAAATCGCCACCTATCAAAGTGAAATAAATGAATAAGATTCTAAATTTTATTTCTATAATAAGAGGATTCACATCTACAGCATAAATGCATAATGGAAGCTTATGGATCGCCCTGATAGCAAAAGCCTAGGAGCCATTTGGGATCATTTCTATTTTGTATTTTTATTTGTTTTTTTTGTTTATATTATAATTAAAATTAACACATATTCGATATGTTAAAAATAAATCAACTTAATTCTCTAAACACACTCAAAGTAAATAAAAATTATTCTAATGTTTTTAGAAACTGGCTGGATTGGTTTTAAAAAGCAAATTACAAATATACAAAAGATATATTAATAAATATTTTTTACAAAAAAAAAAGTCAAAAATAAAATATAAATAAGAAAATTGTCCGAATAGAACCCTCAAATTTTAGGAAAATTTACATATATACCATACAATTCTTATTTATTTACATATCTAACACAATGTTTAATATCTGCACTTAATACATCTTGGTGTCATAAGTTGTGCAATAAATTTACAGAGGAAATTATTATCCATTAATTGTGCAAGGAAAAATTTGATGATAAAAGTATAATGACAACTTAATTACTTTCTCTAAACCCAATGTAGGCTGAAACTTCACTGGACCCAAAATGAAAAATAAAAAAAAAATGAAAAAAAGGGCTAAACAATATTCCTAAAACAATGTTCAAAATTAGAGGTAAGCATATAAATTATAATTGTATCATAAAATCATACATTTACTTCTATTTCCAGAAGCATATTTGTACATGAAAAGCTTAGCTTACAGTTTAAACTTAAATAGCCAGGCTAGGAATAAGAAACCATGCTCCTTGCTGTCCCAAAGAAATGAGATCCATCATCATCATCCTCTAAAACATGAATAAGCACAAAATAAGAAAAACAATATTTTTATCACAAAAATAACAAATATATATGTAGATATATATATGTGTGTTTGTGTGTGTTTGTGTGTGTGTGAGTTTCCTGAATCAGAGTCCTCTACTTATAGGTTTTGCTTATCATAAGATAGTTGACAGAAGAATTAAGATTTTGCAAAAATGGAAGACATTAAAAAATTTTTAAGAAGTTATAAAGCACTTTATATGATGTGAATTGGTATTGGGGATTTGAATTTGCAACATTATATAAAGTTATCTAAGCAATCAATATCAAGCTTGGGATTTTCATACGGAAATTTGTCAACAAGAGTATATCTACAAGCTGAAGCCAATATACTTGTTTCCTCATCAGTGAGAAACAAAGCGGGTTTGCCATTCTTGCTTCCAAGTTTTTCAATAAAGGTATAACCACCTCCAGATTCATGTGCATCATGAAATTCTTGAGGGAAGAAATAGGAATGGTCACCTGCTCCGGAAGTAGAACCCCCGGAGACAGCCTCAACATAACTCGGGGCCATTCCCCCAAACCGGAACAAAAGTAAACTCCAACGCAAAAATCCCACGCGCCAACACTGGAGCTGAAGCAATGCGAACAGTAACAGGGAACACAAATCTCGAACAAAAACAGGGAACGCAACAGTGGTCGGGCGAGATGTCGCGCGAAATCGTCGTTTGGTGAAAACGTCGCACTTAAAAAAACCAGGAGCGAAGCCCTTCGTCGTCGGGAACGAAGGAGAGACCGAAGGACGCAACAAGCTTGTCGTCTGACAAGAAAGAGACGACTCGTTGTCGGGTATGACAAAACCGAACGACGCGAATCTTTGTCGTCGATGCCCCTGGAGAAAGACGATAGTTTCAACGTATGGAATCTCTATCGGGCGAATCCCTAGAGCAACCTGACGCCGATAGTTCCCATCTTGGTTAATTCTAAGCACCAGGAAGGGTCATGACACCATAAAGAGGCGCTCTTTTTCAACTTGATAGCTGTTAATTTTACCCGCTTGTCCTTTGGCACATCTTTATATTCGAAGATTCGTTCCACAGATTGCAGCCAATCAATAAACTCATTTGGATTCATGCCTCTATCAAACTCTGGTTGATCCATTTTGATGCAAAATTCCCTGCGGCCTCCATATGTGGGCTCCTCTCATGACGTCCTCTAATATTGAATTCTGAAGTGGCGTGGCAGATATTCCTCGTCAATGATATCTTCCTTGAGGAATGGATTCAGATCCTCGTCCCGTCTTTTTCAACTCTCTAGATCGCGGTTAGGGGTAATCTCCACCTAGGTCCCGTCATTCATCTTTTCCAGTCTCTGTTGCAGATGATAAATTTCCCGTCATATCTCATCTTAAGCAGAGGGTCCAACATGTATCTCCGTGGTGGCATGATTAGGGTTTAGGTTTGGAAGGGGTGGTTGTGGATAAGAAAGAAAATTTCTTGATAAGATGGATGTTAGAAAACCCTAAGATAGAAGTAGGATTAGACTAGCTCTGATACCGAATGATACTAGTTAACTCATAACGGAACGTAAATATTATTACTAAAACTTCAAAGGGGTTCTAACAAGAGTTCTTAGTAGAAAATAAAAAACACAAAACAAATTGGAGCCCAATGGGAAAGCCAGAGACGGTGAGTCCTGTGGGTTGGCTGTGAGGATGTAGTGTGGTGGTCTGCAACAAGAGGTAAAATGAGTGGGATGGGAAAAGAGACAGCCGGTTCAGAGAGCAGGAAGCTTTGCGATAGTAGTGGAATCGTTAGGAAGAGTGACGAAAGCAGTAGAGGGGGTAGATGAGGTGGATAATGATACCGAAGTTAATCCAAAATAAAACGTAAATATTATTACTGAAACTTCAAAGGGGTTCTAACAAGAGTTCTTAAAGTAAAAAATAAATAACACAAAACACAATGGAGCCCAAGGGCAAAGTCAGAGATGGTGAGTCCCTCCGACTGGTTATGAGGAGGTAGTTTAGTGGTCTGCAACAAGAGGTAGAATGACTGGGATGGGTAAAGGGACTCAGGTTTAGAGACCGGGAAGGTTGGCGGGAGTGGCCAGTGAGGGTGGTGCAAGCAGTAGAGGGAGTAGATGAGGTGGGCAACAACAGAGGAGGTGTCGTCGGGACTGGAGCGAAAGGTCTAGAAAGGATCCGGAAGGAGGCACGACAGTCCTGGGAGAGCAAGAGGCAAGGGGCAGCCTGTCTGGTTGATCAGGACGGGAAGGGCGACAGCCTGTGTGACTTAAGGAGTCAAGGAGTGGCTTGATCAGGAAGGGAAGTGCAACAATTCTATGTGGCTGAAGAAGGCATACAGTGAAGGGATGAGCAACTGTTTTGTGCCGCTAAAAGAGGCAGGCGGGGAAGAGGCTGCAAGAAGGGGCGATGTCTAGGTACTTGAACAACAGAAAGAGGCGAACAACAGGGACAATCAACACCTTGGGCGAGTTACAGCCGGAGCACCTTCTCGCTGTTGAATACAACCCTTTAAAGGGAGAAGCACCCGGAGGTAGAAATCAGAAGTCAGCAAACAATAAAAAACTATCCTCTAAACAAGCCAACAACATACATATAATGAATAGTAGTGGATAGAATAGGAAAGGGATATAAAAGGAATGACATAGAATAGGAAGGAATCCCCCTATGGAAGGAATCAAATAGGGAAAAGGGGGAAAGTCATTGGAGCGACAAATCCCGCCTCAAAGGACCAAGAGGGAGGGCCGGTCTAGCCTACTGTTGGACTGTGACTTTCCCTGCCGAACTGCAAGTTGCCTAAGCCCTGCATCACCATCACTTCCACCAGAAAACACCATCAAGCTATCTTCCTTCTTGTTGTTACAACACACTCAATATCTACATTTGATGACCACAATCAGCATGCACATCGTGTTCTCTCATCACGTCCACAATTTTGTTTGCACAGTAATCATAGATAATCATGGTTTTGATGCCATCAGCCCACTTGATCCTCTCAGTTCACTCACTTCATGCCATCTCTAGCTTCAAATCCTCTCATGTTTTGCATGCCAAAAATGCTATTTACATACTTTGCCACCACTTCATGTGTCACAACCCCAAATCTTTGCAAACTGAACTGAAATTGAGAAGGGTCAATCTCAAGTAAACAAGCACTTTTATGAGAGTCAATTTACCAAAATGCATATGAAAACCTCAAGCTTCAGGAGATATCTTCTTAGATGGTCTTAAGAATGTATGACAAGATTCATGGAACGAAATTGTCAATGATGGTGATGTTCTTTGCCTTGTATCTTTCTCCGTGGATGAATTTCCTATTTATCAGATCTTCATGATGAACTTCCCATTCATCTCTATTCTATAAAACAGGTATCATTTAACACTACATTAAAGTCAACAACTTCGATCTTTTCCCCTACAACATTTCAACTCCCTGTAATAGCATTTACTTGCAACCCATGGGATTTGATTAACATCATAAACTAAGTTTAGGTTATTTTTTTGTATTTTAAGATTTAATGTCATTTAAATCATAATTTTTTATCCATTAAGTTTATTTTATGCTGAATTATCCATTTGGATAATTTTACTTAATTTATAAAAAGTTTAATATGATTCACATTTGACTTATCGTACAAATATATTCTTATAAATTGGGTGAGTTATGCATTACAGTGAATCACCGAAAATTTTAACCCAAAAAATAGGAAAACCTATTAATTTTAATTTTATAGTTGAAAAAATATAAGAAGTTATGTTATAAAAATTGATTTAAATGTAAAAGCTTAGAGAATTGAGAAAAATATCAAACGACCTGCACAGAGTTTAAAAGAACAGTCTGTGAGAGATTAACTCGGATCATTATCTGTCTTATTTTAATTTAATTGATTCAGACTTAGATTATTTGATCGAAAAATATATGTATAAACTAGCCAAACAATGAGAGAAGAAAAGTAAAGATTTAACTCAAGTAAAGTGTATTAAAGATGAAAATCAAAAAGTAAAGTGTATTAAAGATGAAAATCAAAAAGTACTTTTCTTAGAAAAAAGATATTCAACATAGGTGGGTGAGTTATTTTGATAAATTTTTTAAGGAAGTTTATGAAAATACGATTGACCTTAGTGATTTTAATATCGTAAATGATAATAAAACATTTCATTTTTACCGTCTCATTATTAAAAAAGAAGTTGAGGAGACTTTAAAGAAAACCAAGGGTGGAAAGTCTCTAGGACGTGATGATATCCCAATTGAAGTGTGGAAATACTCTTTAATATTATTTTAAAAACTAAAAGGATGCCCGAGGAGTGAAGGAAGAGTATTTTGGTCCTCATTTTTAAGAATAAAGGGAATGCACAAGAGTGCAAATTATAGAGGAATTAAGTTGATGTGTCATACTTTAAAATTATGGGTGAGGGTAATTGACATAGGTTAAGACGCATTACAAAGATTTCTCATAATCAATTTGGATTTATGCCGAGCAGGTCTACTATGGAAGCTATACATTTATTGAGAGGTTTGATGGATAAGTTCAGTGATAATAAGGAGAATCTACATTTGATTTTATTGATTTAGAAAAATCTTACGATAAGGTTCCAAGAGATATCCTTTGAAGAGTTCTTGAGAAAAAAGGTGTTGATATGACTTATATTCAAGTCATTAAAGACATGTATACTAGAGTTGTTACTTGTGTTCAAACTGAAGGAAGACTGACCAAATATTTTCCTATTTCTATTGGATTACATCAGGGATCGACTTTAAGCCCATATCTTTTTTGCTTTAGTTATGGATGGTCTTACTGGACATCTACAGAAGGATGTACCTTGGTATATGCTTTTTGCTGATGATATCCTTCTTGTGGATAAAACGAAAGAAAAAGCCTAGGAAAAATTTGAATTATGGAGGTCTACATTGGAGTCTAAAGGCCTTCATTTAAGTAGAACAACAACTGAATACATGAAATGTAATTTCAGTAGTAGTAGCTCTAGTGACAAAAGTGTGCC